AAACTGATGTCCACTTGTCGACAAATAAGGTCTAAAAAAGCAATTCTTTTTGTCGATACTTGAAAATTGTTCTTACTTATACAATGAATATATAAAAAAGAAGAATCTTTGAGATTTTCATCTCTATAATCGAAATTCTAGAGATGAAATTGGCGAACGGGTCAAAGTTTCCCGCCATTGATCTTCACTCGGCCAAGACCAAAAACAAGTGATGACGTCATATAAAAACCGATAATATAGTCTGAAACGCAATGCATTGTGGGGTACTACTGTTCCCTCCTCTGGGAACAGGGTACAATTTTCAGCGATTTCACTCTGGAACTGGGTCAGGGTTTTGAGGTCCCAGCGGCACACCCTCACCCAAGTTGCAGGGGAGTAACCCCCCCCCCCTCCCCCCAGGTTTTTCAGTTGACAAAAAGGAAAAAAGGAAACGCTTTGTACCAAATTATAGAAACTTCATTTAAGTATTCAACATATTACTTTTTACCTTCTAGATTGAAATAGCAAAGAATTTAGAGGAAGATTAAAAAGATTCAGAATTGGCTGCTGAATGTAATGTCCACAACATGGAATCGCCCATAAGTTTCTTTCAACATTTGAAACAAAACTCAAAAGCTTAGACAATATAAAGAGAGATAAATCTAGTTTTATTCCTTCATTTTGACTATACAGTCAACGTACAAACACTCCGGAGTTCATGGCAAAAGTCACTTGGTATATTTAACAATTCTCGAGATCTCGCTAATTGTTTTAGTATTGCCATACTAATTGGACAAAAAATGAATGAAATATATWGATAAACGCAAAAATTTGTCGCTTTTCGCTAGCCGAGGGCTATTGAAAATAGGCCCCGAGTAGCGTAGCCAATCAGAACGAAGGATTTGCAATAGTCCACTAGTATGGTAATACTAAATACGCATAGCAGTCCCTTCACACAGGACACTCGTTCTTGCAGGCACTCAATAATGTTACGATTAAGGTAAAAAAGTGTATTRATATAGAAGAAATAAAATACGCTTAAAAGAAGGCTGTTCTCAGGGAAGATGCCACATATTGATCTGCATAATGTAGACAGACAGACAGAGACAATCTATATATGCGTCCCTACCTTTTCAAAATTTCTGGATTCACCTCAGCCTTGTGTTGTTGAAAATCGCGAAGAAAGRCATCGAGAGCGTGCATTAACCGGCAAAATATCCCCGGCTCAAGGACCAATAAGAACACGCGTAAGATTCAATCTATTATAATTTGCCATAGACTTCTTTGTTATGCTGATAAATATTGGATTGCAGTCCACCATGCATGAAGAMTTCTTGCTCTCTTAATCAACAACTACTGTTGTTTTTACTATAGCGTTGTGCTTTTGAAATCAYRCAGACACCATGAATGGAATTCTATTGATTCTAGTRTTATTCACAGTCATCTCTCAAGCAGGTATTTAATTTACAGTGTTTTAATAATGCTCTTGCTGAAGTGCTGTGCGACTACGTGAGTATAGTCTATAAACATAGATACGACTAAGTGAGGAAATAAACGTTTAAGAGAAAACGATATAGAAAATTATATAGAATAGCAAACAAAGAAAAAATACATGTTGAATTACAGTTTTATGGTAAAACAAAAGAACCTATACCCTTATTGTGATTATTGAAATGATTTCCTTACTTGAAATACATGTTTARATTTAGACTCATTCTTATCATCCAATGATTTTACTTTCTGGATGAGTGAAAACATTCATGATTATATTTTAGCTCGAGGTGTTATTCAGTGAAATRATCAGGATTATACTGATTCCCAATCTACCCATAGTTAATAGAGAGGACCTCTCTAWTAACTATGATCTACCMGAACAAYGATGCRTCRCTGTCGTCCAACAACACTCAATCTTCAAACTTCATTGACATTCAATCAACACACTTCAGAAACGACCTCRCACTTAGCATTTGAAATGATTTTGATTTGCAATTCATGTATACGACACGTACGTACAGCAATGAATGCTGCACTTTTTTAACAAATCGTTAAAACTGTTATTGGCGTAATTACCTTTGAAGTCATCTAATTTGAAGAAATTATGGCGGTAATATTGAAATAGGGGAAAATGTGCCAAGATCTAGTTTAAGTTCTACATTATTTCTATCAATTCCTATCGAGATTTCGTTTGAACTTTGAAAAAGGAAGAAACATCTTCCTTATCTATGAAAATTGTAGTCAGGATTCATGCTTATGGAGATTAARTTTTTTTCTCTGGCTAGTATACCTAATAATTCGGTCTTCGATCTTAGACCTTCAACAGTGAAAAATGTAAAACCGTTGTTATTGACATGCGCGTAGATCTAATATTTAAAGTTTAAGCGCACGCGGTTCTAGAATATACACGCCTGCGTAAAAACGTTGTTTATTCTATGAGGTGTGCCAACTCAAAAGGGGTGCTAAGGGCTAATGACCCCTTTGATGACGCAACGGTTTATATACAATACAAGGGAAGAGAATTTGAAGAAAGATCCCTTTTGAGCTGCAACATCTCACTCGTAATCCATTAGCAACATTGGGCTTAACCCTACCGAAAAGAGTTGGTGCGCAAAGCCTTGACGGTAAGGCCATCATCAAGACCACTTGAAGGCACTGTGCTATTGAGACCTAAGCAACTGAGTACGGACKTAAGGGTGACACAATAAATGCTGAAAATACTCAATTAAATTGTCGTACTGTGACGTTGTGCAAAATCTTGACGGTAGGGCCATTATGAAGACCACTTGGACGCACTGTGCTAYTGAGACTGACCTGAAAACAACAGAGCATGGACTTAAGAGGAACACAATGAATGCTGAAAATATACTCAATTAAATTGTCGTACTGTGACGGTGAATTGAGGTGTGCCAACTCAAAAGGRGACTAGTGCATAAAACGTATACCTGTGTGAGCTCAGAAACTAATTTTTGTAATACTGTAGCTTGATAAATGTCAATTTGTTTATAGAATCTGAAATCAAGTGCTACAAGTGTTTTTCAAATGTTGGAAACTGTATATCACCARAGGACACGGATTGCGATGAYAGCGAGCACGCGTGTCAAAAGAAGATCATCGGAAAAAGAGTCGAAAAGAAGTGTATGTCGACAATAGTTGCATGTCGTAAAGAGCAGAAATTGTGCAGARATGGTACTTGTCAAGTATTTTGCTGTAATGATGACTACTGTAATGGGTCTGGACACATATCTGGACACTACCCCTTCATTTTTACCTTGTTGGTTGTGTTGTTATTATTATAGCTTACAGCATAAACAAAATTGTTTTATACAAAACTTACAACTGTGTAACGCCTGAACAACAGCATGAAAGTTGTATATGAACTACTTCCCTGATAGACATGAATTACAGATAAAAGAAAAACTGCACTGAAATAGGTGAACAAGTAGTGATTTGCTAGGATTCATGATTAAAACATATATGTAGTTGTCTCTAGCTTAGTTTTTTATTCAGACGTTTCGATCTGCTCTGAGATCTTCTTCAGTGCAAAAAAAGTAGTGATTTAGTCCGCCAGGTGAGAAATCACTYTAGATTCGAAGTCTACTATTAGTTTGCTGTTAGTTTAAAGTGCTACTTGCATGAAAATGGCCTTATTTCAAAACTTCAAGCAATACAATATATGACTCACATATATCTATTAAAAACAATTGCGGGAAAATATTTGTTTTGGAATTGTCCCACATCAGAGAAATTTTGATTCAAAAGATGGAAGAACAAAAGGATGGAGTAAATGACGTCATCTACTCYAACATKKTTTGYCCAAATTATKAARGATTTGTATCAATATCTTCTTAAAATCTGTTGCTTTATGGTTATTAGACCAATATGGATAGTTCTATTTGATTTCCAAGTCTTTTTTTCGCAATTTTCGTCCAAGTAGCCCTTTAATTTGTACCTGTATGCATTGAAATATTTGGGTATCGTGGGAATTATTTTAGTTGCAATAAACAGTGGACTCGTCTTCTTAGCTSAAGACAATGATATATTTATGTGTTGTTTATATGTTTTATCGGGATATATAGATTTCAGTCGAAGACGAGAATCTATTTTTAAATAAAAAAAGAAATATAAAATAATTCTAAAACCCAAACCTAAGAAACTACAATAAACATGAAATAAATAAAAAAATATCAAGAATGAGTAATTGATGAAGATATCTCCATCTGGGCATGAACAGTAATCAACTTGGTTTTCCACATCCAAGCGCCACTATGTTTTAGTGTACTGTGACTTTGCAAATAAGTAAATTTAACTCGAGACCTAGTGAAGTTCTATGATGAGAGTCTAAAACTSAGARMWTTTCTAKTGTTGGGCATACATCGAGTGTCTGTAAATCAGTTACAACACTGATGTTTTATGMATGAGTGTTATAACTAACTGAACTGGTTAGTTATAAAACTCATGTTTAATTAATCAGTGTTTATAACTTGAGTTATAGATCCTGTCATGTGGCCCATAGTTGAATGCTCATTGGAAGAATGTCTAATGAATAATTCATGAGTTTTAGAAATTTGATTTCAAAAACTCATACATAATTATTGAGTTATATTATGCCAATAGAATGAGCCTATTTGGTCACATTCATGGACCTTTATATCTGATAAAACACTCCTTATTANAGTCACGCGTGTTATTTTCACTGTTTATAGTCATTGATTCACATTCTCAGTCGTCGTATTCGTTATGCACCATTAGAGCTATTGGATGCTGGCCTCAACAAGCGAAAAATGTCCAAGAGTGACTGTAACCTATAATGATGAGGATCAAGCTTGACATGGCAAGAGTGCTAACCATGATGACTCTCCTAGGAACTGTCTTCAAGACAGGTAAAAACCTTGCTTAGAGAAAAACGAGAGCTCGTAAGAATGTTCTCGCACTCAGGAGTGATACTGACGGACGTGCTAATATRAGAATATTGATAGAGAAAATGCCTTTCCAGACCAAAAGAGAATTCAATCATTATTATAGTCTATTCAGCCAAATAAATCTGGTACAGTATTCAAAAACTGAAAACTCTCGAAAAACTGAAAACTCTCCACACGTGGCCTTATTCAGATCAAGACTTAAGTGACAGGCCGGTTTGGTTGATTCACGACTTCTATCTGATATAAGCAGTTTTGYGATTACATATTATGAATGTTTTTTATTAATGAACAAATCATATAACTTCCGACGTAAATAACTATTACCTCAAGAAGCCAAAATGATTGCTAAAATATGAAGGTCTGAGTTACAAAACCAAATCCAAATTACGCCCAAGCAATGATAAACATGAGCACAACTGTA